ACCCTCGCCTGCCCGATGCTAAAATTCCCCCTTCCTCCAGCACGGGCACATCGATGGGATTTCGACAGGGTTTTGCTTTAAACTTGGGGAAAAACCAAACCAAACCAAACCAAAATAAAACAAAATAAAACAACAAAAAGGTTCCATACGGCTGGAAATGAGGCTGAACCCCTGGAATTCCCTCGTCCTCCTCGTTTGGTGGAGACCCCCGGCCCGGCTTGGCCCAGCCGGACTTTTGGCATCGGGAGTCGCCGGGGGCTGGAGGTGGTTCCCGATGACAAAAAGCTCAGCAGCGAATCGAAAGGTTTCTCCTGCACAATTTTGTCTCTACCCTGACGGGATTTGGTGCTGGAAAAGCTGGAGGTGGTTATGAATTTTGTTTGGATGCCACCGCTATGCCAAGTTGTTGGGAGAAGGAAATCCCATCGCAAGGGTTCTGTTTGCTTTGGGAGCATCCCCAACCCCGGCCCCCCAGGGAAGAAACCTCGCTCAGGAAAGCCTGAATGCCTCAGGAACGGATTTCCACCTGGATTTACACTTGGATTTACAATTCGAGCTGCCTTTAAGGGCGAATTTGTGGGATGTGGGAGCATCACTTGGCCGGGTCCCAGCCCAGCTCCGGCTCAGCCCCGCTGTTTCTCTCGGTACCAAATTCTCCGGGGCTGAATCCCAGCCAGCCCAAAAGCATCCCCTCGGGAAAGCATTCTGGCTATCCGTCCCTGAGCGGGGATATAAATACCCGGAGATATTTGGAAGATCTCTGTGGGAAGCGATTGTGTCTGAGTGGTAGCGCTCCGAGCTTATTATCGCTGGAACCGATTTGTATTGCAGGGAGCGGCTCCTGCCAGAAAGCTCCACAGCAAAAAAATCCCGAGCTGAAGAAGGCTGTAAATTCCTGTGCTGCAATATTTCATTGAAGGACGTCATGGAAAATCTGGGCTTGAAGGGCGGGGGGGAAGACCTCGGACGGGGAGAGGGGGGGAAAGGGAGACAAAAAGGGGGAGATTAAAATTTTCCTTTTTTTTTTTCTTTTTTTTTTTTTTTCCTTTCTGACCAAAGCCTGAACTTCTGCCTGAGGCACGGCGGTGACAGCCAGCCCGCACCTCCCCGCAGCCGCTTCAGACACTTGGGCAGCTCTGTTACACTCCCAATTTCGGCTCCTGCTCTCCCAAAATCTTCTCCAGGTCCCGGAGACCGGGCTTTGCCTCCAGGAATGCGAGAGGCCAAGGTTGGGACTGGGAAATGTCCAAAGCGGTGCCGTGTGATGGACCCGCAAAAAAATATTTGGGGTGTGCGTGCGTCTCCCTAAAAACATCTCTCCCTCGGTGCTTCCACCTTCCCCCAGCTCTCCTCCCTCCATCCTCGACCCCCTCGCCTTTAAATAAACATTTAGGGATCAATTCGCCGCGGATTTGGGGCCAGCGGCCACGGGATGGCGGCGACTGAAAAAAAAAAAAAAAAAAAAGAAAATATAAAAAAGCCAAAGCAGGCGAGGGGGAAAGGCTGGTGCGGGGAACAGGGGGGGGTCCCGCGGGTGGTGTTAATGCAAAGCAGGACAGCGGGGAGGGGGACACGGGGCGGTCACTCCCCTCGGCCTGGGTGGTCCGGGCTCGCAGGAACAGCCCGGCCCCTGTCGGAGCAGCAGCACCCTGGAACAATCCCACCTAGATCCATTTCCATCCTCGGGTTACACCGGCCTGCTCGCCGAGTTGACTTCACTTAAGCAATTAGCTAGGAAAAATACCTTGGGCGCAGGAAAAGGAAGAAAGCTCGGATTTGTCTATTTTTACACAAAACACGGCCCGAGTTTCGGGCAGGGGGAGGGAAGGAGCCGGGTGGGAAGCGCGGCGGGGCCGGGGGTGTTGGAGGGGTCGGGAAAGCGGCTCCGAGCGGGATGGGAGAGCCCAATTGCGCCAGATGATAATTTCATTTTTGTCATTTCTTCTTTTTCTCCCTGCTTTTCATCTCTGCCCGTCGGGGGCTGGGGAGGACCCGATGAACCCACCCAAATCACGGGCAGACAACACCAAAAGCGAGTCCCGTTCTCCCTCACACCATCCTCCTCCTCCTCCTCCCCGTACACCAGGCTTTTCCTCCGCAAAACTCTCCTTTCCCCAACTCGTGCGCTCGGATTAAAACCCCCAAACATTTCTGAAATTCCCACGACGAGGCCTATAAGACCCGGAGCGAGATATTGCCACTTTTAACTTTTGCTAGCTGTAATAAACGCATCGCAAACCAAATCTTCCCCCTCCTAAAAGATATTGCGAGAGGGGGAAAGGGCACTCGTGAAGGGACTGATTTTCTTTGAAGGGAAATAGTTCGATTTCCCACGGAGAGTTTGGGGATTTTTTAACTTGGAGATATTTTATTTCCTCGTGGAAACGCTGCCGGTGGCAAACGCTTGGAACGGGATTTTTCCACGGGTGCTTTGTGCTGTGTTTAGAGCTCCATCCCCGGGTGTTTTGGGGGCAGATCGGGGAGATTCGGTCGCAGAGTGATATAAAAGAAAGAAATCCACCCTTTTCGCGAGCCGGGGGGGGAACATTCGATGCGGAGCAAAGCTCAGGGTCAGAGATGCGCTCCCACAGCAAAAATAAAAAGAAATGCAGCGAGAAGCAGAGGGAATATTCTGCACCGGCCTCCTCGGGGATGTAAGCCCCGGGGAAGGTGATTGCTTCCCAAAAAAGGGGATTTTTGGGGAGCTTTCCCCGCTCCCCGAGCAGCCCCCGTGCTCCGCGTTCTGCTCCGCGCAGAGGGAGCAGCGGCCCGCCGCCTCCCTGGGCAGCCGGAGCTGCTCCTCTTCCTCCTCCTCAGGGGAAAAACTCCAGAAATAACTGTCCCAACCTCCTCCCACCCCTCCTGGCTACCTGCCCCCGGCCCGGGGCTTGCCCGGGGCTCTCCCGCGCCTGTCCCGGGCCCGTTTGCACCGGGAACGGGAGGGCCGGTGCTGCCTGAAGGATGATGATGATTTTTTTTTTTCTCGGAAAGTGGGGAAAAGACAGGAAGGGTGAGGATAGAAAGGTAAAAAAAAAAAAAAAAAGAAAACCCTGATGTGAAATCCCTCTTGGTCGTACCACAGATGTGACAGGCGCCCCGGAGGCTGCTCACAACTGCTCGCCAATAACTGCGGAGGGAGTTTGGAAACCCGATCGGTGCCTATCTTTCCTTTAAAAGGTATTAAATTATCATTAAAACCTTGAAAAGCGAAGCTGGAAGACGAGGGGCTTGGGGAGGGGGCTGTCCCCTCTCTCTCTTTGCTCAGGGATGCGCCCACAGCCCTGCGGCGAGGGCCTGCAGCGGCGTGCGGGGGGACGGGATGGATTTTTATTTTTTTTTCCCCCTTTTCCTTTCTCTTTTCTTTTCCCCAATGTCGGGAGGGATCAGGCGGCAGCAGCCGGCACATGGGCAGCCCTGAGAGCCCAGGCTCCTTCCCCCGTGCCCTCCCCACAATGTCAGCACCCCCGCACCGCGCAGCTTTCCACGCGCGGCCCGCGACAAGGTGACAAAGGTTTCAAGCGACTTACCTCGAGTGACAGCTCTGCCGGCGGCACGGCGCTCAAAGAGGTGGCTTTTGGGGGAGAGGGGAGGGAGAAAAGGGGGTTTCTACCCCTCTGGTGCTCTATTTTCCTGCCCCCCACCCGCCGCATGTGCCCGCGGCACCGCCGGAGCTGAGCGTCAAACTCCGGGCACGGAGCCGCCAAACTCCAGCGCGGATTTATACACACCCCCCTGAAAAAAACCCCAAACGACCCAAAACAAACCAACCCACTCTCATCCCTAAAGCAGCTCCGGAGCAGGCGAGGGGTCCGCAGCCCGTTCCCGGCCCCGGCGCGGGGCGGCGGAGGCAGAAAAGGGCATTTCGCGAGGGCAGCGGCAGTTTTCGCCGATTTCTTTTTATTAAAGCACCCCCGAGCCCGTGTTTACATTGCGCAGTATAAACATCCTGCCCGGGCCCGCCGAGCTTAAAAAGAGCGCACGAAGAGGGGGTTTGAGGTGGGTGAAGCTGCGCGCAGCGCGGAGCCGGGGCCGGGCAGCGCCGCGCTGCCCCACGCCACGCGCGGAACCTCCGCGCTGTCCGCACCGCCCTTCCCCGGCCCGTGGGGCCCGGTCTGTGCTTTCCAGGGCTGGGAAAAGGGGCAGGGAGGGGATGGAGGAGCCTCATATGGTCACGCGTGGCATAAATCACACACAGACACACGCACAGAGATACACGCGCGGTTCTCTCCGCGGCGGGCAGGGGCGCGGCGTGCAGCCCCCCCGGGTGGGGCAGGGCAGGGCGGCGTGGAAAGGGCTCTTTAAAAGCTGCCCACCAGCGGGGAGCGGCGGCGGAGGGGGCCGGCACGGGGCCGGGAGGGCGGGGGGGAGCGGCTCGGGGCGGGGATCTCCGCTCCGCGCTTACGTCTGTCAAAGGAGCGGCAGACGCCGCTGCGAGAGATAAAGTAGAAGGCGAGCGGCGGGACCGGGGGCAGACTCGACAGCCACCGCGATGGGAAGCAGCTCCCCGCAGCAGCGGCAGCGCCAGCCCAGCTAAAGCCTCCGGAGGGGACGGCGGCGGCCCCGGGAGCCCGGCCCGGCGAGGGGCAGCGGGGCAGGCGCGGGCGGCGGCCCCGGCTCGTCTCTCGCAGCAGCAGCAGCAGCAGCAGCCGAGCTCAGCTCGCTTCCACCCGCCCTCCCATCCCGCCTCCCCCCCCCCCGACCCTCCGCCTCTCGCTCGCCTTCTGCAGCCGCGCTCGGATTTAGGGATAAAGTGGGAGGAGGAGGAGGAGGCAAAAGGGGGGGTGGGGGGTGTCGTCGCTTCCATTTGTTTATCCACGGAGGGGTGAAGTCTCCCGGTGGAAAGCGAAGCCGCCGGGGGGCCGGGAGGACGCCGGAGGGAGGGCGGTGGGTGAGTGGCGAGCCCCCAGCAGCGCGGCCTTTGGCGGGGGCGCTGGGGGGGGCGGCAGGAGGAGGAGGAGGAGGGCCGGGGCTGGGGCTGGCCGCCGCGGACCTGGCCGTAGATGACTGCAGAAGCGCAGCAGGCTCTGTCCTCTCAGCCCCCTCCTCCTCCGGTGCAGAGCAGCTACGGCCCCATGTCCTCCGTGGCTGAGAAGCAGCCGCAGAGCTCGGCCATGGACGCCGCCTCCGCGGGGACCGGCGGCGCGGCCGGCAGCGCCCCGGGCAGCGGCGGGGCCCCGGGCGGCGGCGGCCCCAAGGCGAAGAAGACGAACGCGGGGATCCGGCGGCCGGAGAAGCCGCCTTATTCCTACATCGCCCTCATCGTCATGGCTATCCAGAGCTCTCCCTCCAAACGCCTGACCCTCAGCGAGATCTACCAGTTCTTACAGAGCCGCTTCCCTTTCTTCCGAGGCTCCTACCAGGGCTGGAAAAACTCGGTGCGCCACAACCTCTCGCTCAACGAGTGCTTCATCAAGCTGCCCAAGGGCTTGGGACGCCCGGGCAAGGGCCACTACTGGACCATCGACCCGGCCAGCGAGTTCATGTTCGAGGAGGGCTCGTTCCGCCGCCGGCCCCGCGGGTTCCGGAGGAAATGCCAGGCGCTGAAGCCCATGTACAGCATGATGAACGGGCTCAGCTTCAACCACCTCCCCGACAGCTACGGCTTCCAGGGCTCGGCCGGCGGGCTCTCCTGCCCCCCCCAACAGCCTCTCCCTCGAAGGGGGCTTGGGGATGATGAACGGGCATTTGTCCAGCAACGTGGAGGGCATGGGCCTGGCGGGACACTCCGTGCCCCACCTGCCTGCCAACGGCGGGCACACCTACATGGGCGGCTGCACCGGCTCCTCGGCCGGGGAGTACCCGCACCACGACAGCTCCGTGCCCGCATCCCCCGTTGCTCCCCGCCGGCGGCGTGATGGAGCCGCACTCGGTTTACTCCAGCTCGGCCTCGGCGTGGGCGCCCAGCGCCTCGGCCGCCCTCAACACCGGCGCGTCCTACATCAAGCAGCAGCCCCTGTCGCCCTGCAACCCCACGGCCAACCCGCTCTCCTCCAGCCTCTCCACGCATTCCCTGGACCAGCCCTACCTGCACCAGAACAGCCACAACACCGCCGACCTCCAAGGTAAGGCGCGGCCACGCGTGAGGCGCGACCTCGGCCGGGGCTGCGGGCCCCGCCTGGATCCCGGCGGTGCCGCTGCCAGCCGGGATCCCGCTTCGTGGGCGGCTTTAATGCTGCTCCCGAGGGGAAGATGCCTTGTCCTCGCTCCTCGCCTCCTTTCCCGGGGGCAGCCCGTCGGGGCTCTCCCGGCTCGGGACTCCGCTCTCCCGGCTCGGGGCTCCGCTTTTCCCCGGCGGCTCCCTCACGTCCAAAGGCCGGTGGGCTCGGGCAGCGGGGAACTGCGGGAAGGAGAGGCCGGGAATGCTCCCTTGGGCTCTCCCACATCCCTCGGCACTTGGAGGGAAAAGGGAGGAATTCCTCATCGCCATCCCACCCCGTGCCACCCCGGCCCTTTCCCCGCCATCAGCTGTGTTTTTCACACATCTCAAGGCCGTGTTTTCCAGGCCCATCACCTCCCTCCATCCACCGCCCAAACCGAAGCCGGTGGCCTGGATGCCCCAAATCCTCCCGCGACCCAAAACCCCGTCTCGGTCTCGTCCCTGGAGCTGTCGGGGCTACATTTGCCCTGAGGCTGGACCGGAGATGGTGTTTGGCCGGGAAAAGGCCTCGGAAGGGACGAGGCCAGCGCTGGCTTTCGCTTTGCTGCCCAGATTCCGCTCGGGCTGCGGTGGCTGCGGGGTTCTCGTGGCACGGGGGAGCCCCGGAACCATGGGCGGGTGATGGGGCAGATTTGGGGTCCCTGCCCATCACCCCGGGCCTTCGGGGGAGCGGGACGTGCCTGACAGGAACGGCTGCGAAGCGGAGAACAAACGGGTCAAAACCACAAAGCGAAGCGGGGGAAAATGCATCAGCCGGGCCGGGCCGGAGCTGCATTACCCGGGCAGAGCCCCAGTCCCGGCCGTGCCGGGGCAGTGCCCACCACGGGCGCCCTCCGGCCCCGGGGCGGTTCCCGGAGCTCAGCGCATCCAGGGCCTCTGGAAAACGGAGCTGGGAATCCGCCCCGAGGAGCCACCGGGCCCGTGCGCGGCCTTCACCGGAACGCTCCGATTATCACCCAAAGGAGCGGCGGGAGCGCTCCGGGGCCGGGCACCCCCTGCCCAGCGCACCCCCAATTCCCGGGGCGCTTTTCCCATGCCGAGGTGGCGGAAGGGGCGGCGGGAACAGCCCCCGCTCCCGGCGGCTCTCGGCCCCGGCCTCCTCCCGGTCCCACCGCCGCCAACGGAGCTGCCCCGCTCCGCACCCGGCGGATTTTCCGCAAGGGCCGAGGCGGTGGGAAAAGCAGCCGGGGCGAAAGGAAAGAAATCCAAGTGTTGAAACAAAACCAAAAAACCTTAACCCCAAAGCAAACCCCTTCTGCTCGCAGTGCCCTCGGGCCGGGCAGGGAATCGCCGTCCCCGGGCCGCGGCGCTCTCTCTGCCGCACCTGCCCGCACCCGCGGAGCCCCGATGTGCCAAAACCAGCCCCAAATCCGCGCTCGGAGCGGGCCGGGCGGGCGGGTTGGGTTGTTGGGATTTTTTTAAAACCCCATTCCGAGTTGCTCACCCCTCTCTTCCTGAACCTCTTCGCACTGCTGACCATCTCTCCCCCGTCCCGCAGGCATCCCGCGGTATCACTCGCAGTCTCCGAGCATGTGCGACAGAAAGGAATTCGTCTTCTCTTTCAACGCCATGGCCTCCTCCTCCATGCATTCGGCGGGCAGCGGCTCCTATTACCACCAACAAGTGACATACCAGGACATCAAGCCGTGCGTTATGTGAGGAGCCGGGCCGGACAAACCCCGCTCCCGGGAGCCGGAGCCGGGCAATGAGCATTCCCCAGGACGCTCCGGGTGCCAGGGGATGTCCCATGTCCCCACGTCCCATGTCCCCATATCCCAGGCTGGCTTTGAGCAGCAGGAACGGACCCGAGCTCCGGGCAGCGCTGAGCATCCCCCAGGACGCTCTGGGTGCCAGGGGATGTCCCATGTCCCCTGTCCCATGTCCCAGCCTGGCTTTGGGCAGCAGGAACAGACCGGAGCCGGGCGCTGAGCATCCCCCAGGACGCTCTGGATGCCAGGGGGTGTCCCATGTCCCCATGTCCCATGTCCCCTGTCCCAATCTGGCTTTGGGCAGCAGGAATGGACCGGAGCCGGGCGCTGAGCATCCCCCAGGACGCTCTGGGTGCCAGGGGATGTCCCATGTCCCATGTCCCATGTCTCAGCCTAGCTTTGGGCAGCAGGAATGGACCCGAGCCGGGCACTGAGCATCCCCCAGGACGCTCTGGGTGCCTCCCCGAGGACGCTCTGGGTGCCAGGGGATGTCCCCATGTCCCCATGTCCCAGTCCGGCTTTGGGCAGCAGGAACGGAGCGGAGCTGCCGGCAGCGAGCTGAGCATCGAGCCCGTGTGTGCCTTCTTCTGCTCGGGGAGGGATGGAGGAGAAAGCAAAAGCAGCCCCCCCGTCCGTCCCGAAAGCCCCGGCTGCGAGTTTGGGGTGAGGCTTTGCCAAATGAGGTTTTGATGCTTCTTTAAAAAAACAAAAAAAGGAATTGCAAACTCAGTTTGGGAGTTGGCGGTGAGCGATGCCACCGGCTCGGGCTGAGGGGCTGGAAAAGACCCTGAACTCAAATCCCCTCGGTGCCGTCTCACTTTGAGCCCGGAAAAATACTTTGAAAAATTTTTTTTTCCTTCCTTTTTTTAATTTTTTTTTTTTTTTTGCCGGCCAACACCCAGCGGGCAAAAAAAAAAATCTCTCAGAGGGATTTTTTGGAACTATGAATTTTGGTTTTTTTTTTGCCTGCATAAAGACTGCAGGATCAGACCCTATGCAGAGAGAACAAGGCACTTTGGAAAGAGACAGCCATGCTCATCCTGTTATTTATTCTACAATTCTTTTTGTTGTTGTTGTTGTTGTTGTTGCTAATAATCGAGACACGAATAGTCTCAGTTGATCAGTATTAAATCGGGGAATCTCTGTTGGCAATATTTGCCATATAGATTTGGGTTTTTTTAGTTAACCTTTGTAAATTTGCAAGCGACCGTGGTCTCTGTGTAAAGACAATCCTCCATATGTTTTTATAGAAATATATATATAATGAAGGATTATTCCCCTCCCTCCCCTCTCTATTTTTTTTTCCACCCTGACGTTGTACAGTTCGGTGACACCTATTTTAATTCTTTCTGCACTGTATAAAATTGTAATTACGTGGGTTTGTTTTTTTGATTTTTTCGCCTTTTTTGTTTTTTTTTTTTTTTTGTGTACGTTTTGTCCCCAAAGGAAAAAAAAAATCCCGAAATAAAACCTGTATGTTATTTGTACATGGGCTTCACGATTGTATGAGCAGCAAATAAACGAGCATGCGGTGTAATTAAGCTTAATTAATGAGGAGTCCGGCCCTGCAAACCCTCGGGCAATAATTCCCCGTCCCGGCACAGACTCAAAATCGACTTTTTAGGGTTTTTTCACCTTGGTGGAGTCCTGGTTGCCAATTTCCCTACTGGGAAATATTTCAGTTGAGGCTATTGAAACGCAGAAGGAGGAAAAGCGGCGGTGCTTTTTATTTTTAGCTTTTTATTATTAGGATTATTCCATTTTTTTTTTCCAAGGCGCTGTTTGACAGCTCTTTGCCTCTCCCTCGAATTCCAGGCGTGAGGCGGCCGGGATGGAGCCCGCGGCTCCTTTTTCCTCCTCCTCCATCCCGGGAATTTTCTGGCTCCTTTTCCCTCCTCCTCCATCCCGAGAATTTTCTGAGCCTGCAGGAAAATGATTTATTTTCCCGCGTGAAAAAATAAATAAAAATTCATAAAATTGAAGGAAATTTACCCAAATCAACCCAAATTATTAGGAATTAATAAACAGGCAGAAATTAAGCAGATCAACTGCGCCATCTCCGTCGTGCACGGGGCACTGATAAATCTGCATTTAAATATCGGTATTTTCCTGTGAAATTTTGGGGGGATTTTGGCCAATTCAGGATCCTCCAGTATCCAGAATTTTTTGCTTTAATTCGCGGGCCAATCTGTCTCTATTAATATTCAATATTAACGCCCATAAAAAAAGAGATGCAGGCGAATGAATCTGATTATGTGGATGTGGATTTCTGCCTTTAGAGAGGGAAATTTAATCACTGCACACTAATTAGCCCAGCTCTAGAATCAGCTTAATTAAAATCCAAGTTTGCTGTAACAAGGGAGAAATTGATGATATTATTGTAATTAAGGCAAAGCTTTCTTAGAGCTGGGGAGGCCTTTTCAGAGTGGGGTTTTTATTGTTGTTTTGTGGGGTTTTTTGAGGAGTGTTGTGGGGTTTTGGGTTTTTTTTTTTTTTAATTTTGTTAATGTTTTGGGGTTTTTTAAATCTCTGTTTAGATCTCTTTAAGCCAGCAGCAATCTGCCTGCAGCATTATTGGTTTTCCTCATTTTTATGCTTTTCTGGGCTGATCTTTTCCACATCCCTCTCAGAGGTGAGCACGTTGTCTCCATCCTTTTAGGTACAAGCTGAAACCAGAAGGTTTTTTACTCCTGAAGTAAATATCTGTACTAGGTGTGGCTTCAATAATGGTCCAGGGTTAGGAGCTCAGCTCCTTGAAATGCCATTGTCACTCCCAAGGTTTGTTTTCATCCCTTTGGATTGATTTTGGGTTGATTTTGGGTTGATTTTGGGTCCTGTTTGGCATTTGGTGCTGCTGGAGGCTGGGAAGGGCAGGCAGCACCTTGTGAGGCTCGGGGTTCTGTATCTGCTCCCCACCAAAGCCTGATGTGATTCATTCCTCTCCCTCCCGTGGCTTTCCAAACCTGGAAAAACAGAGCGGCTGCATTCCGGGGACGCCACATATTCCTCAAGCCAGTGAGCTCAGTCTAAACAGGAGCTCTCCATCCCTCCAGCAGCCAGGAGGGACCAAAACCCCCCAGCTCCTCCAAAACCCCCAACTCTCCATCTGCAAAACCCCCCAGTTCCAGAAACCCCCCCCAGCTCCTCCAAAACCCCCAACTCTCCATCTGCAAAACCCTCCCCAGCTCCTGCAAAGCCCCCAGTTCCACCAAAACCCTCCCCAGCTCCTGCAAACCCCCCAGTTCCAGCAACCCCCCCAGCTCCTCCAAAACCCCCAACTCTCCATCTGCAAACTCCCCCAGCTCCTGCAAACCCCCCAGTTCCAGCAATCCCCCCAGTTCCTGCAAAACCCTCCCCAACTCCTGCAAATCCCCCAACTCTTCATCTGCAAAATCCCCCAGCTCCTGCAAACCCCACATTTCCAGGACCCCCCCCCCTCAGTTCCTGCAAAAACCCCCAGCTCCTAAACCCCCCCAGCCCCTGCAAACCCCTCAGTTCCAGCAAAACCCCCCCCAGCCCCTGCAAACCCCCCCCCAGCTCTCCATCTGCAAAAGCCCAATGGGATTTTTCCCAGTATTTTTAGTCCCATGGGATGGCAAACCCCAAGGCAAAACCCCCCCAACTCTGCATCTGCAAAAGCCCAATGGGGTTTTTCCCAGTATTTTCAGCAAACCCCAGTATTTTTTGGGCAAACCCCGAGCTGGTTTTGCTTTTCCAGGAGTGGTTGGGCTCTGAGAGGAGGTGAGGAGGGATAAACTTGCCCGGAAATGCTGTGGGAGCCCTGGGAGAGCAGCGAGGCAGGGCTTGCTCAGAAATATGGGATTTGCTGCTGGAAAAGCTCAGATCTGGCTGAGCTCAGCACCAGCTCCCTGCTCCTCATCCCTCACATCCCAATCCTTAGGGGAAAGAACCCATTTTCTTTTGGGGTTTCGGCATTTCTACTTCAGGAAACAGCTTCTCGTTGCTGATGCCCTGTGCAGGCCCAGGAACTTTCTACAGGATTGGAATTGCCCAGGAATTTTCTACAGGGATGGAATTGCACAGGAATTTTTTTTCCAGGGATGGAATTGCCCAGGAATTTTCTGTAGGGATAAAATTCTGGAGTGTGATGACAAACAGGGCCTGGTGTCTCCAGGCAGGTTGTCCCCTCTGGATCAGGGGACATCGGTGTCCCCAGGCTTTGTGCAGGGATTCTGGTGGCAAATCTAAAAGATTCTGGTGCTTCCCTCTGCTCCTCCCAGGATGTTTCCCCCCATCCCTACAAGGCCCCCATGGAGCTGTGTCTGTAACTGTCACCTGCTCGTGTCCCCAGGGGTGTTCGTGAGCCCCACGTGGGGACAGAGCTGGAGGGAGCACAGGGACAGTGCAGGGATCCCAAGGAAGGCCTGGAAGAGGGGATGTGGGGCTGTGAGGGGCACACATTTTTGGGAGGGTCCATTGGGATGATCTGCAGCATTTTTTGGGAGGCAGCATTGGGGTGGGGATGGTTGTCAGGGGTCTCTCAGGGATCCTGGGGGGTTTGGGGGATCCTGGGGGTTCTGGAGGGTCCCAGGGACATTGGATGATCCCAGAGGATTGGAGCATCCTGTGGGAGAATTGGAGGGATCCTGGGGGCCTGAGGGGTCCTGGGGGATATTTTGGATAATCCTGGGTGGGTTTGAGGGATCCTTGGGGGTTTGGAAGATCCCAATGGGTTTGGGTGATCCCAGGGCTGTTTAATGATGCCAGGGGTGCTGGATCCTGGTGGGATTTGGATGATCCCGGTGGGTTTGGATGATCCTGGTAGGATTTGGATGATCCCAGGGGTGTTGGAAGATCCTGGTGGGATTTGGATGATCACAGTGGGTTTTAGATGATCCCAGTGGGTTTGGAGGATCCTGGGGTGCTGGATGATCCCAGGGAGATCTGGATGATCTGGGTGGGATTTGGATGATCCGAGTGGGATCTGGA